AAGTGTGAATAATCACGACTGTACTAAACTTGGCTTTTAGCTTGATGATACATTGAAGAGCTAGAACTAGAGGCTTGTTTACACTTACTAAACTTTAAACTTTTTGCCTTCTGTGGCTTCTATAGAGATACAAGAGAAAACAGAAGTCATATACGGTTAGTGACAGACATGAGGACATGATATAGTAAGACTATAGTATAGGTTAAATTATTTTTAAGAGCTGTATATGCGGAGCGGGGCGGGCAATTATTTTGCACAGAGGGCCGCTTACTGAGTTTTGGCAAGCCATTGAGTGCCCCATGACAGGCAGCTCAGGGCAGATTAACATTAATTTTCTAAATTTTTTAGGGGCCCCGCAGGCTGGATACAGTGGCTTGGCAGGCCACATCTGGCCTCCAGGCCGCATTTTGCCCATGCCTGATGTAGAGCCACCAAATCCCCTGAAAATTGATCTAGATATACCAGCTACAAACCTCTGTATTAAAACTGAGCTAGGCCTCCCTTGAATTAATTTACCATGTCCCAGTAAGAACTAATCTACTGACACAGCTTGTGCTGATTTACATGAAGTTGATTTTAGTTAAACCACCCCATTCTCTGATGCAATCAAATCCTGATTTACCAAATTAAACTAAACTAATTTAAACAATACTACATTAAGATATAAGGGTTAGGAGTTTGCAGCAGAGTAACTATGGTGTCTTTAAATTGATTTTGTATAATTTTTCTGATATAGAAACTTTTCATAAATACACTATTTGAATCCAGATTCCCATTTATAACATTTGTAATATATTTTTGGGAGTGACTGCCCTCTATATGTTTGGCCTTAGGAAATGTTGAACTAGATAATTCTCTTTCTTTCTATGGCTTCTTCATAGATACAAGAGAAAGCAGGAAATGTTCATGTTAGTGACTGACATAGGTACCATGTGGTTTAAGTAACAGTATAGGAAATGTAATACTATAAGAGCAAGTTATTCCTGTAGGAAGTGCTCTTGATTGCAGTGCTTAAATAAAGCTGAGTTCTCTGCAAATAAGGTTGTGTTGACATTTGTGTGTTAAACTAGTGGTAATGTTAAGACTGTTTGGGTGACCTTAAACTGTGTTTTTTCTATACTTCATCTAAGTTCCCTGTGAGCTGAAATTTCCTACTAGGAAAATTACCTTCCCCTGTAAGAAACTTGAGCTTAAAAATATCAAGTGGCCTAAAAAGATCTTTTAACAGCTTAGTCAGGACAATATTAATATCCCACCACACAGGAGAATATAAGGTATCAAACCCCATGTGAATTTCATGAATGTGGGCTGTACAGAAAAACTGATGTACCTTCAACATGTTCATGAAATAGTAACTAGATGAACTCTGACAGAGTACATCTGTAAATTCAGGCTGTGTTAGGTCATCAAAGCTGTTAAGCATTTTTAGAAGCAACAAATAGTTCTGATTCAGCAGAGTATAAACCTTCAGCACTTAAATTGATATGTTTTTTCAGGCCAGCCTCTTCTGATTATCTAGTTTTGAGGCAGTTATTCACACTAAAAAAAAAAAAAAATTATGGCAATCCTTCAGGCCTTAATTAGGCCAGGGCAACTGCTCTATATACACTTAGAAGAACCGACGTTACAATTCAATATAGGAAAGTATTGTTAAAAGTCTGATACTAATTCATTGTTTCATCACAATCAGTCTGATAGTATTTCAATTTTAAATGTCAAACAATAGGCTTTATATTTTTGTTTAAAATAAGTCAAATATGTGAACCCCATCATTACACACTCCTGTTAATAACATTTGCCTCACATAAAACAGAAAAAAACTCTTAGATACAATGCTTTCCATATAGGAGAACTGCTATCAATCTTATCATCCCAAATTACTGAAAAATTACTGATAAGTGCTATCAAGAAAATGTGTTTCAATAGCTGCTTCAATTAATAGTAGAAAGGTTAACTGTTATAATCCACACAAGCTAACAACTCTCCATAGAGCATTTCAAATTTTATAAAAGGTACCCCTGGTGTGCAAATTGCTGATTTACTGCTGAATAATTCAGAATAATATACAATATTAAAGACAGAACTGAGCCTGAAAAATGGAACCTATTCAAGATGTTGTCAAGGCTTAGTATTTAGCTCTCTCCCCGCCCTCCCAGTCCTGATGAACAAGACACTAGCATTTTTTTATGTGGACAAGGATTTTTGTTAAACCTTAATTGCCCTGTATCTGTCAGCAATGCAAACTTGGTAAGCTTCAAAACTCTGGAAGTGTCACAACATTCACTATAATTTTAGTACAAATAAACAGAATATTTCCTTATAATAGGAGATTGCTTAAGGGGAAATAAAAAGACACTAGACAATTTTGACTCTATCCCCACCTTACGGTTAGAAAAAGAATTTTCATGTTTAAGAAAAAGTTTCATGTTCTGCACATTTCTGAAGTATTTCTCCCTACAATAGTAGTCCCCACACTAGTGAGAAACTGGTTGTGAAACAGAATAAGCATTTTAGTTTAAAAGTATGCAATTAAGGCTCTGCTCTGACTCTTATTAAAGCAAGGAAATACATGGAGCTCACCAGAGCTCTCTGCATCCACTAAGTTCAGTATCTGTGGGTTTTAAAACCAAGAGTAAGGCACAGAAGTGAGTAAACAGAAGTTTAGAATGGGAAAGTAATCACTTAGCAATGTCATACAGGCTGTCCTCAACTTACGTTTCGCACTTGCATTTCTAAATTGACACGGTTTCAACTTTCTGACATCAGTTTTGACTTTACGCTTGATCTGATGTGACGCCATGACAGCGAACAAGTTGCTGCGTCACCCAACTCCCTGGAGAACATCTGTCCAAACTTCGTTGGACACTTTCTATAAGAAAGCAGACAAGACTCCAGAAAAACCTGCAGCCAGGTTTTTGGGAAGGGGTTGAACGACAAGCTCTGTAAATCCTCTTCCCTTGCTCAGCCCATGTCAGAGGAAGGGAAAGATTTTCTTTTTTTGCACTCGTGTCACTGCTCCAGAATAAAAAGAGCAGACATGATCCAGGGCTCTGCCTTACCCCATGCACTTCTAATGCTTCTACTTGACTAGGAGGGATAGGGGCAAGCACGATAATAATCCTTAAGGACAAATAAGAAAGTGATTGACAACTTCAAAAGCCGATTCCAGCTGGAGATTTGTGACTACTACTTTAGAATATGTAGTATGAAAATGTTCAAGGACAATCGATCAAGCAGACAAGACATTTGATATACATGAAGTTGCAGAACATACTCTCTCAAATAATACAAAACATCTAAATGTGCCACATTAATTACAAGCATGCTGTGGGAAGAGTTAAGATTACAGGAATAACTATAAGCATTTCCTACTTTTGAATATCTAAAATAATATTAAGACAAGGTTAAAATTACAGTTGTTTGGAGTGGCCTAGATGTTTTTACAAGCTAAAATGACTGCTTCATTCTACATACCTTTAGATTACTGCTGGCTTGCAACCACAGCCAATTCATGAAAATTCTATAGGATGCTGTTTGACTAAACTCACTTACAATATGTTCCATGTAACTTAGCAGCTTCCCGGCTTCCAGTAACTTCCTGAATTACGCAGGACAAGAGAACTCCCAGAAGAGCCAATTAAAAGGATAAAATGACCAAAATATATTCTAAGAGATAAACAAAATAGCTGCTCTGAAATATCCTTCCAAACAATTAAAGGACAGGTGGCTGGTTCAAGAGTTTTTTAAGAAAAAAAGATACCTTCAAGAAAGAAGGATTAAAGGTAGGTAAATTTCCTTCTTTAAAAGGGAACTCTGCACAATGTTTCCAATCAGAGAGTAAGCAGAGGAACAAAAGATAGGAATATCCAGCACCAGTATTTTCCCTTCAGCCTTTTAAGAACTATCTAGTGCAGGGATTCTCAATCCCCGGGCCATGGCCCGGTGCGAGGCCACAGAGGGTCAGCTGCTGGACTGGAAGTGGCCGCGGACCAGCAAAACATGGCCCTCCAGAGCCGGGCAGAGAGGCTATGGCTCCTTTCGCAGGGCCTGCAGCAGAACAAGCTTTGGCCCAGCCCCCCACTTGGGAGGTGGCAGTATCTTTACCTATCTTCCAGCTGGAAAATCTGTCTGGGGTTGGCTGTGACTGCTGGGCTGTGGTTTGCCAGGCCACAGCCACTTCTAGGCCACGGTTTGCCAGGCTACGGCATAAACACTTTGGGAACCCCTGATCTAGGGGCTTTCACCCCAAAAGCTCAGGTTATTAAATCCAAGACTCCTAAAGACATTTATTGAGCTACGTGCTACAGGGGATATACTATGCTCTCTTCCCTCTTCAGGTTCAAAGAGGATTGAGAGAGGGTCAACCAAGGTGACCAGGAGCGTTCCCCTTAAGCTGCATAGCATGCAGGGCCGCGCACAGGCACGCCTAGCAATGCAGCACGAGTATACCTGTGTGGCCACACAGCTTAGAGGGAACATTGGTGACCAGCACTGGCAACCATACGAGCACACGGAACAGAGCCAAGGGATTGGAGAAGAACGAGAAGACACATCTAGGACCAAGATAATTAATCTCTCCTTTTTCTGTGCATTTAAGATATATTTATAAATTCAATACACACTCCTCAATAGGGGTTATTTATTTTGCCATATTGTAATAGGTGGCAGAATTGTAAAAAAAAAACAAACAGTAATTCATTTATATTTAAATTTTGGTGTTGCAGTTTTCTTAAACTTCATAGATCACAATATTTTTATTTGATATATTTTCTGTTTGCTTTCCTTGGAATACTTCAACCCTCATTAATATAACAATTGAACTAGGCAGCTCAGAACTGATCACATTGTACAACGATCCTTCATTTTATTCTTTCAATAAAACAGTTAACTGAAAGCATTGTTAACTAATGTTACATAAACTACAAAAAGTGTTACCTTTTAAAAGTTTTTTAAAAAATATCAGATTAAGAACACTTGAAATTGAAGTTGCACATATTATGGAAATAGAATACATGCCTGCGCACACAGATTCAACCAAGGAATAGGACAATCTCTGGAGAATAAAGCATATAAGTATCCTTGCCACCCCTAGTGCATCTAATTTCTAGAATGGCAATTATTCTAGTTTGTTTTTATGATGTGCACCTGTCCACAGGGAACGGAATTAAGACCAAACCACCAACTTACCAAATGCAGCACCCTGGGAAAAGTTAGAGCATGAATATGGGGAAAGGGGGAGGGAGCTCTGTATCTGATCTCCAAAAATATAAGAGAAAGTTTCCAGTTGTTTATGTTTCAAGAACTTTACCATAAACTAGAGTGTATACCAGATTCAATTTGAGCTATAATTCATTGTATAGTCCTCCTTAATAGGAATCTCAAGCTTATAAAAATAGGAAGGGAACAAATTCTGAAGAGGCACAAAACTACAGTAAAAAACAAAATGGCAATTATATCATCTTCCCTCGCCCCCTCAATTTCTTCTTCACAACTAGGGTGCCCTGACTATGGAACAACCTCCCCCCAAAGGTGTTGCAATCATCTCCCCTAGAGGTCTTCAAGAGAAAACTGGATGGATACCTGGCTGGGGTCACCGGACCCCAGATGTCTTTCCTGCTCATGCAGGGGGCTGGACCCAATGATCCTATGATTCTAATTTGTCAGTGAAAGTAATCAGGCACTTCAGAAAGTTTATACATCGAATAGCAGCGAATGAATGAAAATTGTCACTGCAATATAATTTTACCTCATGGCACATCTTGTATAAACAAGGTCACATAAGATTCAAAATTTTTCATTAAAAAAGAATCAGATCCATAACAGGTAAGCTGCATTTGGTATAGCTACACCAACAAAATCATGTATATTTACAGTATCCAAGGATTTTGTCTACAATAACTGAAGTTAATAAAAACTGCATAAGAGCAGGTAGGATTAGAAAGTTCTTGATTTTCTAGCCTCGGCTCTTCTTCAAAGTAATCTGAAAAAAAGAAAAGATATTTATCATTACTCATACACTCAGGGCAACTTAAGCAATATAATCACTGAGAAATTTATACCAAAAAAAGAAATATTTGAAATAAAATGCATCTTCTAAAGCATAATTTCTTAAAAGAAAAAAGTTTGCTAAATACTTCTTAGAAGTGTCAGTAAATCTTTTGCTATATCCCTTAATGAGCTTACTCCACTACAGTATCAGCTATCATATGTGTTTGTAGCGCTACTGTGATTAATTTTTTTGTTTGAAAGATCTTACTTATTAAATTTTATGTCAAGAGTCTAGTACCTTGGAAGGACATTCTTTGGTTTGGAGTTTAAATTCAAAAGTGAACTTCAAAGCCAGTCAGGACCATTTAAGTGTTAACCTTGTTAAGCAAAGGCAATTTCTGTTTTCCCTTCTTTAAAGAAGAAATTGATACAAAAATCCATTTCAAATTATGTTAGGAGTATACAGTCAAAAAGCCTCCAACTGCGACATTAACTTGGCTATGCTGAACATCCTGTGTATTTTCTGGTACTATGGTAACAAAAATATATCAAATCAAACATTTAACCAGAAAAATAGGAATGTAAGATACAGAAAACATAGCCCACTGGGTTTCAACTATGTCAAAGCTACTCAGGCTTAGTCTTCTGTTTTGTGCAATCTTACTAAAAGTGGTTGAATAAATGACTTAGGATCTGCAAGAGACTGGAGTTTCTGAATTACAGCACTGAAGTACTCATTATGGTATTAACTGAGGTACTTCGAATATTATGCAATGTGCACCATCCCTTCTTCCCATTATATTGGAGCTTCGTCCCCTACACACACAGTTGTGATGTGGTAAAAAAAAATATAACAGCAAGTTCCCACCCACAGTCCTTTAAGAATTATTTCTGTCATACTCAGCGGGTGCATCTACACGTGCAATTAACGTGACACAAACTCCAGAGCTGATCACACTGGAATCAACTGCTCCCAGGCACAGTATCTACACACGTGCCTAGGACAGCAACAGTTTGAGCCAGGGTAGTGCAGACCCCTGGCTGGCTGGTCTGACCACACACAATTAGCATGCCTGGTCAGTCTCTACATGTTTTACAGTGGAGTAAAGTACTCCACCATAAGGCAGTACTATCCTACAGCGAAGTTAATGTTTACAGCACCCTAATAGCAGCGTACATGTAGACTGTGAGGCTTTACTACAGAGATATACCATACAGATCCACCCAACAACTGACTAAGAGTAAGTTCAATTGTTTTTCCCCTCAAACTCCCTCAGCTGCTCTGTGGCATGCAAAAAACTCCCCAAAAAACCAAGATAGAGTCCACTAACATAGAAGGTGGTAGGCTAAACAGTGGAAGGAGCATCACATGCCCTCTATGAATATTTACTTAGAACTGTATAAAATAATTAAAGAAATCTGATCATATAGGCCATCTGATTAGCCTCGGATCAATATTCTTCACCTCACCATCTGGCAGTCCCTAGGTAGGATTCACCCTATTCTTCTACTTATGGTCAGCAGAAAAACTCATCTTGAATCCTTAATGATATAACAGCATTTTCCACAAAAACCTTTCTAGTTTGGAATTCCTATCCTTGGAGCCAAGATTTAGAGGCTAAAGAGCTACAAAATAATGGTCTTAGTTTTGGAACTGTGGTTTACCCAAAGACATTAACAGTTGGCCCAAGGTGAGTATTTAAATACCTAAATTTGCTTGGGATTGGCAAAAATCTATGCTAAATCCCCAAAGTGGGCCAACCTAGTAGTTCTCAAAGTACACTCAATACCAACTGGCATCACCAAGAACAGCCTCTACAGCCACTTCTTTAGAACAAATGGTTGGCAGTGCCACCTCTTTTCCATAATAGCTTAGTGGCTATAGTATTGACCTAGAAACCTAGACACCTGGGATCTGTGCCCTCTTCAGGCTGTGGGATTAAAACCCACACCTTACCTTCTAGATTCCCCTAACCATTAAGCTATAAGACAGAGGTGATCAACCTGCAGCATTTGTGCAATAAGCAAGGAAGGGGGCAGCACAGTGAGAGACAGAGCAGGAAGCAGAAAGCAGAACAGCAGATCAGGGACAAAGTAAGTGAAAGGGATCAGCAGCACTCAGGAAGGCAAAAGAGTTAATTTATAGCATGCGTGCCAAAAGGTTTGGCCCCCATTGCTTTAAGTTATGCTAAGATTCTCTATTGCTGCTATTGCAGTGCAGTGAGGCCAGTGTGCAAAAAGTCACATGGCCAGAGAAAGAGCAAGAGCCTATAGCCCAGTGGTGTCAATGATCCAGCCCACAGAGCCCTATCATCTGTCCCTCAGTGCTGCCCATAGGTCTCAGTGTTGACCTACATACTGCACATAGTGCCTGTGTAAAATCAATCCACAGCAGGTACTGGATCCAGCACATAAGGCCAATCTGCAGGCCCCACTCAGTCTACAGGGCCAGCCCCAAACCATTCATCCAGGCCACAGATCCTGACAAATTTGACAATCCTACTATAGCTGAATCCTGACAGCACAGCTGTGGGAGGGGTAATCTACACCCAACATTGCTTCTGCATTTTATCCAGTAATACTGAATAAATACACAATCAGTCACTAGAGCCAGTGCCCTCATAGCCAAATTAAAGAGTTATATTCCTTGTACTCTCTTCCTTAGACCATGAATCTTTCCATACAGCAGTCCTGCTACAACACAAAGAGCAGCCCAGTCTTGCTAATAGCTAGAGATTCCCATAAGATGCTTTTAAGTGTTCCAGAGGGTGTCACACAATCTTAGATGTGCAAATACCTACAACTGATTCACAAAATAAACAGAGTAAGGGGTAGAAAGCAGAGCAGCAAATTGTACACAGTACTGTGGTCTTTCTGAATTCTCTGCAACACAGGAATCAGTCTATTCTTTTTCTGTAATCAAGAAATGAGTGAAAACTAAGACCTGGCATTTTCCAAATGGATGCCTTGAGAACCCCTGGCTTAGTGGCTGGGCACTCTCCCAAGAGGCAGGGATGGGAATATGCAACCCTTCAGGCTGAAGTCATTAAACCCAAGCCTTCCTACTTCCAAGTTAATCACTCTAACCACAAGGTTATTCCACAAAAGATGGACACTACAACTATTTCTATTCTTTTAAAATACAGTTTGAAAAAGGAGTACCCAGTCACCTGAATATGAAGGGACAACTGAGACATCCAAGTCTAGATATAGGCTGTGAACTCAAGTTCACATGGACAACTCAGGGCTACAGGGACTGTTTAACTGCAGTGGAAATCCAAGAAAGAGACAGGATTTCAGACTCAATTCTTTTTTTCAACATTTCCTACTTGTTGGGTTATGTGAATATGAACACACACACGCACAGAGTGTTCTGCCATGAATACCAATCATAGGCTCCCACATCTCTCCAGTTAAAGTATGCAGAACTCAGTTGCATAGTTTGGATTTCTAAGTTCCATTTCTGGAAAGTGACATCTAACTTTTAGGAAGCTCAGCATGACTAGGCTGAAGTCCTAGTTTGGGTATGGGTCTAGGTGTTTAAACAAAAAGAGGAAAGTTTATAACATTACCTTTGCAGCAGATATAACATGCTCAAGTTTAATTATTTTGCTTTTATTCTCAAATGCGTTTATTCTGGTTTCTTCTGCTAATCGATGAAGAAATAGTAAGAAGTTCAAATGGACCTTTGAAGAAAAAAAAAAATCAAATTAAAAAGGTTTCCAACAAAATGCTTACAAAACAGCTGTTTTATGTTTGTTAAACCAACATGTAAGAGCCATCAATCCTTAAGCTCAAAACGTACTATTTCAAGACTATTTCTGAATTCCTACGTTTTCCTGAAAACCCTTCAAGTCAGGTATGATTTAGTTTTCTAGCCCTTAACATTTCTTGCTGCAAGAATCTCCAGCACATGTAATTTACAACTTAAAATAAGTTTAGGATTTCTCTCTTACCAAATACATTTCAACAATACCCAACTTCCCAAGTCTTCTCTAAAAATCTTCTATATACGAGTAGGAACTACCTCTTTTACTCAAGGACACACACAAAATTTGCTAGACCTGACTACTTCTTGAACTACAAAACAGAGCATACTCACTAAGTGCTGAACATTTATTTTCAAATGTGTTCAGAGATACCTTTTTATCTGATATTCTCTAGCAGCTGAAAATAAGGAACAGCTGCTAGTACAATATGAACATGGAACTTCCTACTATCATCAAGTGGTCCACAGACCAGTTTGAGGGCTACTGTCTAGATTCCCATTTCCAACTTTGCAGTGTAAAGGAACAAAGACTAAATTAAGATTCCAATGGAACTGGAAATTCTCTACCAGCAGAAACTGGTGCCACATGCTTTCTGCATCAGCTGATCTCCTCCCCATAAGTCAAATGCAACAGTACTAAACAGGCACAAATTAGTACAGCTTAGAGGTTGCTGCAGTTCACCCTGGAACTAGCATGGCCACACCTAAGGAAAGAAACCATGACCAACTCCCACCCTTCCTAATCTTGCACGTAGGATCACACAAATCTTGCACATAGGTTATTTCATTAATCAGTGGAAACTATCCTTTCTTAAAGAAGAAACTGAAGTAATAGAAAACGAGTACTAGATTAGTGAACAAATTTTAATCCCTTACATGTAGCATCTCCTCTCCCACAGGGAAAACACATTCTCAGAGCAACTAAAGAAAGGAGGAACTAAACTGTAGATCACAGAAGTTAATGTGTGTTGTCATTAAAACCTAGTCCTCAAAAAGTTACACGTGCAGCATAAAATAATTTTATTCCATTGTACTCCCACTGAAGTTGACAGGACTAGTCTTTTTTAAGACACGAACATGAAGTCTGTTATATGCTGTCCTTAATTACTAATGTGCAATTTCTACTGATACGAATAAAAATTCTCTCAACAATCAAAGGGTGCACAAACTTGTTTTAAACTGATAAGCATTTAAAATCATGTTATGACCACCATGCCTGCACTCTATAGTGCAAGCCAGCTAAAATGTGATATAACACATCAATAAATTTCAGTTTTTTAAGCTTCACTAACACCTTACCTGGACCTAAATGTATAATGGTTGAATATTAAAAAATTTGGTAGAATGCTGAAGAGGTTTTAGCAGCATGAGACATATACTTCCCTGATTTTAAATTGTCTTCATATTTCTACGCTTTTATATAATGGAAATGTTTGTATACATTTCTATATGTATACAAGTCTACCATATTTTAAAAAAATATGTTTTGCACCAAAAAGTTAACAGCCTACTAGAATACTTGTCTCATATCACTTAAGCATAAGAGAGAACAGGCAAGAAATTGCTTGTACCTATTAAATGCATCTGTCCTTATAAACTAAAAAATAAACAACAAGAGAAAGTACCATTCAGAATGTATTTGCTGGAAACATTTTGGCAATAGACATGCAACACACAGAGAATCTACTGTTGAGGACAGACATATTTTAATGCTAGTGTGACAAGCATACCACATGGATGAAATTTTTTAATCTGCTCAACTACATAAATATTAATGTGCAACAGATACTTCCAAATGATGCCAACTTTCACGTAAATATATGTACTATATAAAAAGCAGACATTCTTGCAGGTTTGCTTGGCAAACTATCAAAGCTATTTTAATCTGATTAAAATATTTTAACTACTCATGCAGAGACTATTTGAAACAGTCAAACAACAGTGGCACTAAAATAATGTTGAATGTAAGAATCTGGATTACTAAATGTATCAACATGGGGATTAGATTTTTGGAAGTCAGTAACTGCACACATTTTCCACATTTGAAATTCATAAAGAAATTGAAAATGAATCCCTTCTGCTTAGATGTATACTCTACTTGAGTATCAAAAAAGGAAAGACTGTATTTTAAAGCCATCTTTAGAAGAGAGTTGTCTTTCTACCACACAGGGGAAACTTCCATTAAAAATAAGAGAACAGAGGCAGAGAACTTTCCCTAGAAATCATTGATATAGAAGATGAATTACTGTTGTATCTTAAAACTCCAAGTATACTTTTAAAGGAAGACACCTAGCTGGGAGGTAAGAATAACAAACATTTTAACAATACATAAGT